AGACACGGGAGGGCACGGACGGGCGCTGGAGGACACGGACGGTGCCAGTTCCCCCGGACCAGTGCGGCGGCCACCTTGCGAGGATGAAGGGCCTGAGCAGTTGGTGTAAAATTCTTAATGCTTCCCTGATGCTTTATTGCCCGCATTGAAAAAATTACCATGTGAAGCGGTAGCCCCAAATAAGGGGCCCACGCTGGTAGGATGTCTCTGGAAATGAAAATTGCTTTAGACCTGGAAGGAAAACACGAACTGGGTGTATTTGCTGGATTCATCTTAAGCAGTGAGGTCGAGAAACAATTATTATGACAATTGAATCAAGGTAGGAAGAGTAGTTTCTTTGTACATGAGCTATCAGTTGAATGACTGAACCGTATGCTTTTATACAAAATACCTTCATTAATTATTTGTCTGAAGGAAAATTATGGAAATGGGGTTAATAAATAAATAGTTCACGAGCAGAGTCTGCAGATAGCATACACACCTAAGTGTAACTGAGAGCTGGGCTTTCTGCAGGATGAGCCAATTTGCAGCTTGTCTGGAGGGTGTTTGTTCCTGGCCAGAAACGTCTGTCTCCCTGGCCTGGGTCTCCTGCCCAAGGTGACAGCTGAGCACGGACGGAGTGGGAGAGCACGAAGCTATTCCACAGAGCAGGCAGGGAGCCCGTGCTGTGCTCAGCTGCACAGAGCAGCCCTGGCACCCCCTTTAACCAACATTTGAATAATTCCAGTCTCTGGAACACAGACACAGCCTTTCTATATCCGATTTTTGTCAGCTATATCCTAATTATTTTAAGGGGAAAAAAAATTGCTCCACCTAAAGAATTAATGTATTCCTAGACTTATATCTAACAAAACTTGAACACGGCAAGTAACAATGTTAGATTGTGAAAGTACCTCAGCCTATGTCAGGGTCCTGCCCAAATGACCTTCTGCATTAAGCAGTGTAATTTCTTTAGCAACTTTTATGCAATTCCTTCACCTTCACGTGGGCGGGGAAAATAATGTGAAGATGCTTGTGCCACAAGAGGAAGCCATGCCATGAAGTTCAGGCTTGCATGTAACAAAGTTTATGAGTCTTCTGTGGAAGCTCAGTTAAAGAAGGTTTAGGTCTGCCTTGCAGAATACAGTACCAGGACTAATACACCGTTTTCAGCTCCAGCTGGGCTCATTTCCCACTAGGTGGAATAAACTTCACTTCTTGAACTTGCTGTTCCTTTGGCTTACGTGAGCAGATCTGTTGCTACAGGCAATGCATTCACAATGAGATCCTTAAAGACGACTGAACCTTCTCCATGCTTTTTTAAATTTAATACTAAATTACTTGATTAAAGCATATTAAAAAACCTACCATTTGTGTCCCCTCCCACAAAAAAGAAACTAAGAATTGTTGAAGGTATCAGTGCTCCTTTTGTTTGCATCACACTGGGATTTTTCCTAAAATGCAGTTTTCTTACTGCAATGGCTGATACTTTGAAAGGAATGGCTGATAATTTACAAGAACTTATTAAATATATATCAAAAATACACAGAGTGAGAAATGCAACATATTTAATTTAGAATTCTTTGTTCTGGGAGTGTTAGCTGTTCTTAAGTAGACATACTCTACCAGACTAAACACTTGCAGACCAATATTTGCTAGTGTTCTGCTGCACATTTTCTCCTTCAAACATTCTTTTCTTTCTGTTTTTCATTTTCCATTAACAACAACAAAAGGCCCTGAGGAATTCTAATTTCTTTCTATGGCTAATGATTTCAAGATTATTTTCTGTGCCATGTACTATGCTATACCAATATATATTGCCACCATTTAGTGATTACTTTAGTAATCTAATTCATTAATTTGTAATGCAGATCACAATTGATCTTGAATGTATGTCTGCATAATAAATAGTTCCATAAAAAGTAAATAGTAACTTCTATGAGATAATTTTATGTTTAGGTTAATATATAGTGGATAAGCAAAAAAAGTTATTAACATATCACTAAGAAGACCAGGAAGAGTCCATAAAAACAAAATCAGTAGTTAAATATGAAGCCACTTCCTAATTAAAACTAATTAATCTTTTTCAATAACACAATGACACACTTTCTTCTCATAGGAAAACAATACTCCATGAAGCCTGAAATGAAATAGATTATTCTTTGGTTGTTTGCTGGACAGAGGTCAATAATACCTCAGGGCAAGCACAGTCTATAGCAAATTTCTTAAAGAATTTCAAATTGAAAAGAAAAATCTTTCTGGTAGTAAAAAAGGGCACAAATAGTGCATTAAAAGAAGAACTTGTGAGGCAGTGTAATGTATTGAAAATCCTACAGCATGTGTGTGCAGGGCCCTTGGAGCCTCCCTGTACCTGGGGATCCAGCTGGTGGCCACCTCAGTGTGTGCAGGGATCACTGCACAGCACCTATCTCGGCCCAAGGAGCCTGCCCATACCAAGGCTTTCCCTTCAGATACCTGAGCTTCTGCTGCCTTAATCCTGAAAATGTTCAGGAATTTGCTGCTGTGCATCTGCCCTCAGCCAGTGGGAATCAGAGGTGTAAGTGTAGGCCTGGTGCTTTCCTTTACCCATTAACTCAGAGCCAGCCTTCATGTAATTAGTTAATAAAAGCAACTAAAGAAATTTCTCAGTGTGCTCACTCAGCCCTTGGAAGTGCTGTGATTTTGACTCCATCTCTACTGCTGTCTGGTTCATGGATCAGTTGGAACAAAGTTCCTGTGTTCCCGTGGATTGCCGCCCTTTCAGCAGCCTGGCAATGCTGATGGCTCTGGCATAGGGGCAACTTGTTCACAGCCCCAGACAAAGGACAGGTCCTGCCTCTGGAGTGCAGCCCCTGTGTGTTTGAAGAACATGCATCGAGCTACAGAGCAGCTGCTGCCTTCACACTGCAGGAATGCTCACCAACCAGCATCTGTTCAGGGGGAACCTCATGATCCCAAACCCTGAACTGCTCCCAGGCTGCTGGGAGGGAGCCACTGCTGTGGGGAGCGATGCAGCAGCTGCTACAAGAAGGAGCCCAAAGGTGTGCTCAGATGTTTGAATGCACAAGGAATCTTTTCTGGCTAGGAGTATTGACTGTAAAACAGCACTTACTGGCTTTAGACTGTGATTGCTTCATGGATCTGTTAACAGTAAACAAAATCACCCCCCAAAAGACAGACAATTTAACTTTGATGAGACATGGAAAATTTCAGATGAGAAGGAAAATCCTGCTGAAACTTATGAGAAAACATGTACTAAGGAGATCAAAGACTGTTTTGCACCTGCCATACTTACTTAGGTTTATTGCCATGTAAACAATCTCTTGATATTTCTTAGTATTTTACAGAAAAAAGAAAATTGATACACAGTAAAAATTTTGTTTAACTATTGGCCTTTTTGCTAGACAAATTAGAACGTGTGAAAGAAATTATAAGACAATTTAAAAATTAATATAAAATTGGATCCCTTTGGCATGCTTAGTAGAAAGGTAAATGCTGAAGGACTTTATTTAATAGTCTAAATATATGGTGTTACAACTGTTCTTATTTCTGGTGAGTAGCATAATACACTTCACCCAAAGCTGCATTTCAGGAAGGTGGATATGTAGAAGTATGTTAGCAGAAGAGCCACTTACAGTACAGAGACTACTGGTAAGTATAACTGTGTGAAAGGATTTGGACAAGAGATGTATAAAAATTATTATTCAGAGTTGTTTCCATTATCGTAATCCCCGGATTCATATTCTTCATCATCTTCCTCATCAGAATTGTCAAAATACTCCTCGTATTCAATGCTGTAGCTTGCGCTTCTACTGCCAGCAGTAAGTGCAAATGCAGGAGATGGGTCTGCAAGATGTAATTGAACCCAGATCAAATTAGTTGAAGATAGGAACACAGAGGAAGGTATGGGTTTGGATTTGTACAGCAAGCTCAGGGTTTCTGAATCCTTATTATCTGAGAAAAGGACAGGGGTTTTAGACAATGGCTTAACCTCATACCACTGAAGGTCACGAGCAAATTTCTATATAGAATCATAGAATCCCAGAATAGGTTTGTTTGAAATGGATCTTAGAGCTCATCTTGTTCCACCCCCTGCCATGAGCAGGGACATTTCTACTATCCTATAGCTTGCTCCAAGTGTCCATCCCTGTCTTGGGATGGACAGCTTCTTTGAAAAACCTGTGCCAGTGTTTCACCATGCTCTGAGTAAAGAATTTCTTCCTAACATCTGATCTAAATCTCTCCTATTTAAGTTTAAAACTATTCTCCCTTGTCCAACCTCTGTCTGCCTGTATAAAAAGTCCCTCTCCCTTCTTCTAGTACTCCCCCTTTAGGGACTGGAAGAGCTCTGGGATCTCCCCAGAGCCTTCTCCTCCCCAGGCTTAGCACAGCAGCTTGCTCAGCCTGTCTCCGGAGCAGAGGTGCTCCAGGACCTGGAGATCTCCATGGCTTCCTCTGGACCCACTCTGACAGGTCCATGTCTCTCCTATGCTGAGGATATGTTGAAAATGCATTTAATTCCTCATAATAGTAAACTATGATATCAGTCCTCTGCAGCTCCTGTGCATCTGCAAATATTCCCAGAGAAAATAAAGCTTTGAGAGCCACTTGTAGAAACTGGATGGCTGACAAACTCCCCTAGACCAGGAGATAAATATGACAGTGCATCTTTATCCTGAATTTGCCAGGAAAAACAGTTCTCTGTAGAGGAGGAAGGTTATTATTCTGCAGGGCTGGGCCCAAAGCAAATCAATAGCAAAGCTATTTCTTGCATCTTTCAAACCACTCTCATTAAGGAACAACTGTTTCCTTCCTACTTTTATGAAAAATAAACAGCTAAGCAGACCTGCCATGATTCAAAGACTCCCTCAGTTACACCAGCTGTTGTTCTGGGTCCTGCTAACATCAAAAGAATTCTCTGGGATAAGGACTGTGGAATAATGTGTCTCAGCTGTATGGCTCCAATCCACAGCTTTCTGTTTTCTGGAAGCTGGTGTAATTTGCAGCAAAGCATTACTATATAAACCCATTAGGAGATAAAGTGAAATAAAAGCACACAGAAGAGTGAAAATATGGGCAGCTTTGGGTAATTTCTCTTATGCTTCATTAGCATTCCAATGACCCCATCCTTTGCATCCTGCTTGTATGCATTTTTATATTTTTTACATTAATCCAAATAAAAAAGAATTACCATCAATGACTTTCAATCTTGCAGAGGCATATGTTGCACCATGTTTATTTTTGGTGTGGCAAATATAAATGCCTTCATCTGATTTTTTCAGGCCTTGAATCTGCAGCCAGCCTGTCACACCATACTTCTGAGGCCCACCTCTTGCCTTTAAGAAGGAAAGAAATGATTGAAATTAAGTTGAAAAAAATACAGGTTTTATGGATTGACATGACATTTCATGGGAACTTTCACACTTCATGACAGTTTCATCTGGCTTGGACTAAAGCCTTGTAAAGAGGCCTAAGTGGTACCCTGGCTGTTCCTTCTGCTGCCAAAGCACTGACAGAAATCGTCACTCTTTGCATAACCACAGGGCCCCTGTTGGGAGTCTGTTTATTGCAACAGTATTGTGTTCTGTAGGAGGAATTCACAGATTACCCACCATGCATTCCCTGCAGTCCCCAGACTTCATGCAATGGTAAATTCAAGTTTTACCTGAACTGAGACGTGGGTGTCATCTCCTGGCAGAAACATTTTATTCCCCTTTTTTTTCCATTCAAGCTGTGGCATAGGATAGGCCGACACCTCACAGCCAAAAATGACATCATTTCCAGTGTAATTCTGGGCATCCTGAGGTGGTGTAGAAATAACAGGAGCTGCAAAGAACCGACAGGGTGCTTTAGGAGATAGTGAACAAAGAACACAAACACAAAAGGTTTGTTAACACTAATCCCTGCTTCACAGGATACCATCAGATTGTATTTGCCTTTTTGCTTTCACACACTGTGAAGAGCCACGTGATTCCAAACATCTTTTAAAGCTCAAAAACCTTGTGTCTGGGCTTTCTAAAAACACTTATTCAGGTTTATTCTTCCCCTTGCAGCTGATTGTGGATCCCGAGCTGGAATCGAGGGCACAATTCTGCCCCATGAGCTGTTGTGTGCCAGGCTCACCCCCTGCAGAAGAGCCACCAGTACCCGTCCTGGGCTTCAGAGGAAAGCACAGGAAATTCTGCAGTCCAGAGCGATTTGATTGTGTGATAGCTTTGAATGTGTTGTATTTGGGTGAGCTGAAAGCCAAAATGCTGCTATTGCTGGCTTTTTCTGAGTTTGTCATTGCCTTGAAGTCGCTTAACATTGTCTGTTACCCGTGGAAGTCAGAAGTTACAACAGCATTAATGCATTCATCTTTATTGCTATAGATGTCATCCAGTATTCCCATTAGGAATGAAAAGCATTGAAGTTCAATTATTTCTGCAAGGTTTCACGTTACGTTTATCACACTGTTACATTTTCACTTACTTTTTCCCTCATGCTCTCGTACTGTCACTCCCTCCAGCACCGATTGTCTCGCAATTCTCCTTTGTCCCTTTTCCCGAAGCAAAAGCCGTCGGCAGCCACGAGAGGGAGCGCGCGGGGTCTGGAGGCGGAGGAGCCAACCCTGCCAGGAGCCAGCCCTGAGCCAGCCCTGAGCCAGCCCTGAGCCAGCCCTGAGCCAGCCCTGAGCCAGCCCTGCCAGGAGCCAGCCCTGAGCCAGCCCTGAGCCAGCCCTGAGCCAGCCCTGAGCCAGCCCTGAGCCAGCCCTGCCGGGAGCCTG